ACAACATTGCTAAAGAAGAAAAAGACAAATGACCTAGCCTAGCATGCCACAAGTGCAGCCTAGCTCTTGACTCCACACTTTCTGGACTAGTAGTAGCAGAAGCTTRCAGTGCTGAACTGACATCTGCATCAAAATAGTAGAGGCCCTCATACTCATGACCACTCCCAATCGTTCTCCTCGTCAATCTGTCCTGGAAAACACAATGAAAGGGAAAAAAAGTTATACTGCAGCTCAAATTTCTTGTAAGCTTTGAAACAGACAACAAATTTGATGTAAGACTAGGAACATGTAAGACTGATTTAAGAGAGATATCCTTGCTTAGGTCAACCACTCCCTTTCCCGAGATGGTGAAGAGGGACCCATCAGCTACTCTCATCTTATCTTGTCCAGACAATAAATGATATGAGGAGAATAATGAGGACATATGTGTCATATGGTCAGTGGCTCTTGAGTCAATCACCCAAGAGCTATAATTAATGGAACTAGTTGCACTAAATGCAGAGGTTGTACCTGATTTGGCAAGAGAGGTGGAAGCTAAAGGATTGTTCTTCAGACGGGCAAATGCCCGGCTGAGAACCTCTACCTCACTAGCTGTAAAGCCCAAGGTACTTGGTCCAGAGGAATCAGCAACCTGCTTTGTSGTGGAAGAGGACACTGGCTGAGTACTCTGTGAGATGTCACTACTATTGTTGGTGGCAAGATTCCCACTTGCTGTGTGGCCCTTATGTTGCCTTTTTTCCTTTCTTAGAGCAGCTGGCTTCAGATGAGGGTACAAGACCCAACATTTCTCCTTTGTGTGTTTCTCACCACCAYAATGGGTACACTTGAGGGACTTCTTGTCTGAAAATCTGCTTCCCTTAGTGGAGACTAAGGCTGAATGTTCTCCAGATAGTTCTGTTGCTTGTGTCTAGGAGTCAACCTGCATCTCCTTTCTCCTTACTTCTTCATTCCTCACCAGGTAGTAAACATGATGAAGCTCAGGTAATTCATCTCTCCCTAGAATCTGTGACCTTACACCTTCATATATAGGGTCTAAGCCTGCTAGGAACTTGAAGGCTCTGCCCTCCTCAATCTGCTTGTCATGCCTCTCCTTATCCCTGGCATTTTCCCAATCCAAAATCATGTGATGGTCAAGCTCTTCCCAGAGACCTTCCAGTGTTGCAAAGTATGTTGCCACAGACATGTCTCCTTGCCTTAGGGCTGCAATGTCTTGGTTCAGCCTATAGATTCTAGCATTATTCTTCTTTTGGCCATATGTCTTAGATACTTTCTCCCAGATTTTAGTGGTTGTAGGAAAATGATGAACAGTTCTGGCCACCCGAGGAGTCATGGAGGCCAGCAACCAAGACATAACTGTGGCATTTTCCTTGCACCACACAGTGTATTCAGGGATGCTGATTTCTGGTTCCTTTTTATCTCCATCCAAATAGCCTGTGAGTTCACGAGAGGTAATGAACAGTCTTGCTGACAGACCACTCTCTAAAGTTATACTCATCCAATAGCACACTTGTAATMTGCAAGCTATGCAGATTAGGGTTCTCTAGGTTTGAGGACCTTATAACAGGTCTGTTATCTTTAGAGGAAACTTCACCGGATAGTGATGACATCCTGACTTCGGTCAAGGAGTTGTTCACAGCACTGTTGGGTGGTTCTGGTTAGGGCTGGCCGAAGTAGTCACAGAGTTCACAGTGCTGATAGCACACAGGATAGGCTTCACTTGGACTAAATCAGTTCGGGTACAACAACAAGGAAAAGTTTGTAACTGAACCAATGCACAGAGATGGAGTAGGGCTAGTATCCGACTTGGAAATGATCTGTAACTGAAGTCTCCACAGTTCTGTAAAGGTCTTTCTGAACCAGTTTTGATGCAGGTTCTGATTAGCCGAAGTAACCTCAGCAGGTCCTGACAGCTCGCAACACAGTTTCAGACTTGCCGAGACTGTCACAGTTCTGATGCAGTTCTGTTACAGCAGCAAAGGTGTTCTGGGCTGGTAACCGACCTGTGCTATGCAGATTCCACTTGAACTTCGAGTACTGCAACTGTAAAGGGAGTTCCCCTCCTTACAGACAACACTAGAACTGCTAAAATCAGTCCTCAACTAGGTCTGTCCTATACAGACCTCTACTTAGCAGCCGAATAGCTGCTAACTACTAGAAACTAGTAGGACTCCAGCTTCAGGGTCTTACCTCMCTTGCGCCCTACAACCAARGRAAACCCTAGGTCGAACCTTGTGTTGTTCTCCTGCAACCCTAGGGTTTCACAGCAGCAACCCAGATAAAAAAATGAAATACTGCAAGAAGGAGGAGATGGCGTCGGCAGTAACCAGGAAGGTGCTCAATGCTTTGATACCATGAAAGCTGAACCACTGTAGTCGAAGTAGTAGAAAAGAGAAGAAGAGGAAAAGATGCTGGAAATGTCGAACTGTACTTGCAGTCAACCATGCCTTTATTTATATATAAGTGAAGTACAAAGTACAAGAAWTTACTGGGATACCCMTRATTAGTGATGGGACACCCAGAAGACTTAAGACATAAACAAGATTAGGCCCATTAACAAAGGCCCAGTTACAAGATAAGTTTAACATAAGAATGGGCTAATAGGAATTCTTATAAGCCGAACACACTCAAGCCTTCTAACATATCATTCTAACAATGGGCTTTTTTTATTAGCTAGTAGATACACTATTCCCATTTTATTATTTGCTGGAATGGGAGAATATTCCTTGTACAGAAAAATTCCGGATAATTACTTAATTAGACAGCTGACCCATGTAACATGAGTTATTAAAATTTATTCTCAACAACAGAGGACTGGGTTCCATGGTTTAATAGGTTTAGAAAGTCCTAAATAACAGTTGTGTTTCATTGAGCAAGCCTAAGACGGTTAGCTATTCTTGGAACGGGAGCTAAATATCTGTTTGCATTACTCTTCCTAAATAGCAATTATGTGTTCCGTAATCAGTCTTAGAACTTATAGAGATCATTAGTGAGAAATAAAAATTGTGATCGACTGTTGGGTTTTATGCTATAGAAATACTTAATTATTCTTTTTTTTTTAATTTCTCAGGGAAGAGAGAAGCTTGGAAGGTGGAAGAGGTATTTAGGACAATCTCTACTATGATTAAAGGCACCATTATGCTGTTGTGGGAGTATTGTACACCTATAAAGTAATGATTGTTATTGGAAGTAAATACTCCATTCACTTGCACTGTGGAAGTGAATTAAGCCAACTTAACTCCATTTTGGTTTTGAGAAAGTTATACCGTATTCTCTCTTGAATTTAATAAGGCTCAGTTTGGGAAGAGTGCAAATACAAGTTTGTTCAGTGCAAAACCTTGTATATGGTATTTCTAAACACTGTATTTGTACTATACATATTTGTATTTGCACTCTTCTCAAACTGAGCCTATACAAAATTCAAGATTTTGTACTCTACAAATTTGTATTTTGTATTTGACACTGCTTCACACCCCCTTTTTCTTAACTTATTTTTCAAAACCTATTCAGTGGGGTCAGTTTATGCTTGTCTACCCTCTGAAACAAGTCAAATCACTAAAGCCAACAATACAGGCTAATATGTGACAAAATTTTGAACCTTGAGTGCAAGGTTCAAAATATGCGTATCGGGCAATATCAATAGCCTTTTGAACCCTTTTTTTTAATTTTTCTTTCAAAACTGGTTCAGCAGCTCCCGAAACAATACGTACGTACCGATACTCCATCCCCCGAAACAATACGTGCGTATCGGCTGTTTAAGACTCCTCCACCCCCTGAACCGGTCAGAACCCCAATACACCCCCTGTAGGGGCGTATCGGGGAGCTCCCGAAACAATACGTACGTACTGATACTCTGAACCTTGTTTGAGCGTAGTAGATGGTGTCATGCATGTGGACCTTTTTCAAGTGCCTAGGTAACAATAATTTATCCTTGTTCTTGTGGATACCATTCACACATTGGTGGAATGTTGAGGGCACTAAACCAAGACTCATGCAAATCCCATAGTCATGGTTACATTTGCATTAAAATCTAGATTTGGGCATGCTAATGATCTGGCTTCTATCGACTCCCATTGCCTTCAAAGTATGCACAGAGATGGTGTTGACCAAACCACCTAGAAAAGTTTGCACCTGTCTGGCCTCAAACCCATTCAATCAAGTCATGACATACAATGGTCTATTGTGATCTAAAGAAGGAACCATCATGTACTCGTGTCTTCTAGTCCAAACTAGATGCCCTGATCCACACTGGAGTTGTAACATCCTTTATCTATCTTTGTCTCTGCCAAACCCTCTCTCCCACTCATTCCACCTGAAAGAAATATTTTAAGGGGGCATTCTATGACATGAATGTTTTTTGTTTTCATATGTTTTTGGAATTACCACGTCAGAAAAAAAAAAACTAAAAAAACATGTTCTTAAACATTGTTTTTTGTTTTAATAAGTTGGTTTTGTTTCATAAAATAATGCATGCTTTTGGAACTAACAAAATATTGGTTTTAAAACAAAAATAATTTTTTTAGTATAGAAATTATATGATTTGTGGGACATGGTGTTGAATAATCAGAAAAAAAAAAACACGCTTTTGATTTCAATTTTGAAAACAAAAAACACACACTAGTAACGTTTTTTTTTTTTGTGTTTTTCTTTTAATAAACAATCTATTTTCAAAATGAAATTGTTTTGATTTGTTTTTGGAACCAACAACAAGAAAAGCAATTCACATTGTAGAATGCCTCCTAAATTTTTGATTTATGCAAAATGGGCAACCAATGTCTCCATTCTAGCTTGATTGAGTTGCAATGCTATTATCACATGGATGGAAGCCCTCAACATGCTCAAGCAAGGGATCAACATCTATATTGTTGTCGTTGGCCTTAGTCACAATTCTACCTTCATGAGTTTGGCAAATAAGGTGGTATTCGTTAGTGTGTAAATATCGTGGACGAGACCATTTAGGTCTTGTCCATTGTAAGATATGGTGTTCTGTTATGTGTGGACGGTCCCTATCCACAAAATAGCATGGACAAGAATGAGCCACCCCAATTTATTGTCTACAGTATTTTCTCGTGGATAATCCACACTATGGTATGAACAATTTGTGGAAAGGTTTCAATGTATTGCACCTGTGTTACATTTGTCAAATTATTCTTATTTTATTTAATTTTTTAATAATTTTGAATATTTTATCAATAAAATAATAATTTTTAATATTAATTCTAGCATAAGTCCGACGGTTCTCCTTCTTAACTCATTTTTTATTATTTAAATATTAATTTTAATAAAATAATATTTAAAATGTTAATTTTTATTTTTTTAATATTTAAAATGATATTTTTAGTTATTTAAAAAATGCAATTGTTATCTACATATTAATGCCTTTTTTTTCAATTTATTTACCATATAAAATGCAAAAAATAGACATTATGACCGATTGTGTAGATCTTCCATAAAATGTATATAAGATACATATAATCAAAAAGTGTGGTGTGGACCCATCCACATCACGTCTACAAAATGCCACTGTGGGTGCGGACTGGTTCGGTCCATACAATCTATCTACAGTTCAAAACAGTTGCAGACTATGGTGTGGTGTGGATTGATCCTTGCCATAGGGTGTGATGTGGATCAGTTTACACCCACCAATTTCTCATCCATACTATAGAACACCCCCTAAATCTCCTTATAATGTAGCAATCCATGATGGTACAACAAACAACTATTCTCTCAATAAAAAAAAACAAACAAAAAAAACAAACAAAAAAAAAACAAACGAAAGACAAACAACTAAATCAAAACCTTTGATATGTTGCCATGGCCCTACCTTGAATTCAATGAAGTGACTTGATGGATCCATTGCAATAAATGCAAGGCCATGATTTTCCTTTTTAGCCTTCCATCACGACAGTGTCATAGCAAAAGTGAACGTGTGCATTGTCATCTAGCGGAATTCTAACCAATCAACGTTATTCCTTTCCTGCTCTATAGGTGGCTTGAGTTATGTGGGCATTTGTATTTTTCCGTCCACCACCACCAGCTAGTATATTATAACCAAGACCTCCATCTCGTTGCATGAAAACTCCAGTGGCGGAGGCTCTTGAGAACTAGTCTAAGATCAGGCAGGTACAGCATTGTAAGCATGTTCAATGAGTACTTAGAAATTTTTTTGACATCTGTCCCTTAAAATACCTCCAGCCTATCCTTGAATCTAAGGTTTAAAGTATCGATATGTATCGACCCATATCGGCTGATATGTATCATATCGGGAGTACCCCGATACGCCCCTAGAGAGGGTGTATCAGGGTTCTGATTGGTTCACGGGGTGGAGCCTTAAACCGGCCCCCCTGAACTGGTTTTGATAAAAAAAAAAAGTAAAAAAAAAAGGACTGATACTAGCCAATACGTCCCTACCGACTTGCTTGAATCTGCTTACTATGTTGTGCATACTAGATCCGGTCCCCTCGATAACTACTATTAAAGTAATTTCTTCCCCTTCCTAAATTCTTCCTTCCACATATTGTCTTGCTTGACTGTTCGCAAGCCTTCCCTCTATTGTCTCCCAGTTGGTGGTGATATTGGCTTCCTCACCAACTTCTTTGTTCTATTAACACATTCCCACAGTGAAAAAAAAAAAAAAAGCTTTCAGATTCAAATTCTCATCAACAAAGTCCTTTTCTTGTACTACTCATCAAGAACAATTTACGGGATTTTCCAATGAAGTCCATTTCGTTTTAGGATTTGATGATGTACATTGTGCAAAGTCAGTCATTATCATTTCCCCTTTTTATGAAAAACCACTTCCTTCAAAACTTATTTGAGCAATTCTTCCCAATATCTAATGTTGTGAGGCACCAAATTCATTAACCATGTATATGCCCAGCCAATGAGCCTACGTTTGTGTCTCCATCGAGCAAAGTATCTTTGCATATTGCTTGCAAACTATGCTTGATCTTGAACCTGTTCATGGGCTTGGCCGGGTTTGGGCTGGGTTTTGCTTCTTTATAAATAAAAAATGATCAAGCCCAAGCCCGGCCTGACCAGCGGGCCTAGATTTTGAGCCCCAACTTGGTCAAATTCAGGTTCAGCTAGAGAGTCCAGATTGGAATACCCTATACTTTATATATTAGGCCTGGAAGGCTTGGACCATGATCATCCCTACGACCTACCTGTATACACACGTAGGTGTGCAAGTTGGGCAATGATAGGTTGCTTTGAGGTTGGCCCTACCCTAAACTGAATCATTGAAGGCCCAACTCTAACCCTAACCCAACCCAATGCCATGGGTTGGATTCAGGTTTGATTTGGATTGACCATATTTCTTCACTTCCTTTTTCTTTCCAAAAGAAAATGTTATAGTTCCTAGATAGGGATGGCCAATTTAAGGTTAACTGGTGTAGCATTAGTATATATGTAGAGGGAAAAAGTTATGATGCTTTCAGAGTATTATACTCATGTTACACTAACAACAAATTGTTGTTGTTGTTGGTTTATATCAATATTCTCAACTTGCGGCTAAACCAGACAAATTGATTCACCTATCACCCAAATAAGTTTTTATGTCAATCCAAATCGCCTTGTTGAAAAAAAAAAAAAAAGAAAACTTTGATTTGGTCAACAGCCAAATCACTCAATTGATTGAACTACTGACTTTTTTCGCCTAAGTTAATGAGCCATGGTTAAGAGATTAATTTTACTTTTATCCATTTTCTTCATTGATAACAATAATTCTTATTTTCAAACATAATTTTTAAAATAATGAATATATAATATTAAATACTGTTCAATTTTTCATTTTTGTATTTTTTTTATTTAATTTATGACCTCACATGTTGATTTGGTTAACCTAGACGGAAATGCAGTTTAATTAGTTTTTAGAACAATGGTCTTTTATCAATGTTTTTTTTTTTTAATCTTGTGATAACATCAATCCGTCAAACTTACTAACTCATCATCCAACAAGGATTCTCAGCCCATTTTACCACAAAAATGCTTGCTTGCAAAATATCATTGACTTCTTCTATAACATGGTAATCTAGCTAGTTGAATCATTTAACTCGCTTAGTTAAGTATCATGCTTATTTCTTAACATTAATTTTCTTTTTTATAACTTTTTATATTAATTTCATTATCATTAATAAAACATATTCTTTATCACTTTTATTTTTGTTTACCAATTTTATATGTTTTTCTAATAACATTTTGTATTACTATATTTATTTACATTTTTATTTTTTAATTAAGACATCATGGGTTTGACCCATATAATCTAGATGGCTGAACCCCTGACCCACCACTTAGATGAAAAACAGAAAAAACAGGTTTGTTTTCAAGTCAATTTTAAATTCTATAATCCATTTCCATCATTAATAAAATAGTTCTTTTTTTCAAATTTACTTTTATTTAATATGATGAATATACAATATTAAAGATGTGTCCAAATTTGTCTATGAACTTTTGTATTTTTTGTAATTTTTGTATTTCTATCTACTTTCAAAATTTCAAGTTATGGCGTTATCGGTTGACCATTTAACTTGGATAAAAAGCAATTTCGTTTGTTGGGTGGTTTCAAAATTTGTATTCTTGTTATATGATGCATATATAATTATGACATCATGTAACCCATTTGACCCAAAAGGTTGAATCATTGACCTGCCACCTAGACAAAAAAATATTTCTTTTCTTAGCCAGTTTTAAATTTTATATTTCATTTCCATTATTAACAAAAAGTAGTTCTGGTTTATCACACTTATTTTTATTTAATATTATTAATATATAATATTAATGATATGTTCAAATTTTTACAGTTTTTTATTTATGTAATTATTTGTATTTCTTTCTATTTAAAAAAAATTAGTATTCAACTATAAGCGATTAAACCACTAACTTGCCACTCAAATGGAGAGACGATTTCATTTCCCAAATGTACTTATAGGGAAAATAGAATTTTAAAGGAAATAATGAATGCAATGCTCATAAGTTCAGGAGTTGCCATGAACATATAGGAGAAGGCATTTCTCTCAACCAGTTATAACTTATATACAAATAACAAAACTGAATTCAACATTAAAAAAAAAAGGTGGGCAAAGCTCCCAAAGCTATAACCTGAACATCATCATACTTGACAGATGTTGGAATTTCAACTCAAAGAAAGAAAACCGAAACCTAATGACTATATTTATTGGATATGCAATTAATGGTGCAGCTTATAGCTTCTTTAGTCTTTGAAATGGATACTATTTACAGCCCTAACAACTACACAACATAATGGTGATGTTGTGTTATTCACCACATAAATGGATCAAAATTGAACTGGCTTAATTAATTCTGCTACAAATGGTAGAGAGAGAGAGATTGTGATTGTAAAGTAACATATCATGGTGCTAATATCGTACAAATAAAAACTTCACACCGATTATTGAATGTTTATATATAAATAAGAACACAAAACTTTAGGCCAATTAAGTAAGTAACACCACCAGTCATATACTTTCCTCAGCAACGGCAGGCTTTCATGGCTTCCATGGTGGCGGGGGTGGTGGAGTCAATGGGTAGAGGGGAGGGACTGCTGAAAAGATGGTGTTCTTGTCAATGCCGCCACCAGCACTGCCCGTTAAGGAGACAAGTGCTGCAACCAGTCCTGCATTTCCAGCCAATGTGGGCTCAGTGTAGTTGTAATTGGTTCGTACGTCCCGAAACTGGTCGAACCGGTCCGGACCACCAACCATAGCTCCCACAATGGTGTTGGGATTAGGGTTACGACTGTCTCTCCACTTCCATCCACCGGTGCATGAGTACTTATTATGATCATGAGGTATGGATGCACCCCGATGGTGCACATGCTTTGGGTACTTGGAGCCATACCCTACCACGTAGCTCATCTTCAAAGGGTTCTTCCCTAGAATGTAGTCAATCTGCAAGACCCCAGACTCTGTAAGGAACAATGTATACTTGAATACAGACAACAAAATACTAAAAATGTACCTAATTGAAAACAATTTTTTTATTACGGTCGAATCGGTTCGCCTTTAACCCAACTATGGTCGAACCGGTTTATCTAAAAACCTGATACGTAATATCCCAGTCCTTGAAAGAGAATGGAGGCAGGATGAAGGCTATTTGTTTAGGACAAATAAGATAGGATGCAAAATTATGTAGTTCCGACATTATATGAAAAGAATAAAGATAGAGGGTGATGCAAATTTGCACTGCTAATGAGTGCAAGATACACGTTTGGCAGCGGATATATTAACTTAAATCATAGCCACAACAAGCTGAACCACGAGCAAAATTTGTATCCGGTTCAGATTTGTATTGCAAACAAATGGAGCCAAGGATGAATACAAACCTGAGAGGTGGCAAACTGGCGAAGAACGTCTGATGCAATGTAATTTGGCCCACAGAACCATCCAGGAACGTCCGTGGCATTCATGTAGTCAACATAAAGGGAAGCCAAGAAAGCAGCATTAGCTACATACTGAAGGGGTTGCGGCCGTCCGTGATTCAGTTGAATCATTCCTCCTGCAACAAGCATTGAACGAATACATGTTCTGTCATTCATCTCAGTTGAATCCTTGATTTACGATTTTCCAAAACCCAAAAACCGGTTTGATTTAAAAAAAAAAAAAAAAAAAAAAAAAAAAAACAGAATTCAGTTAACCAAACCATGAATACCCCCCAAGTCAATTTGGGCCAATAGTTGCCACCCTTTAATTGTGATTTGTGAAAGAACTAAGAAGAGATGAGAGATCATCCTTGCTGTTCCTTACCATTAGTCCAATTGAAGACATTAAACCGATGGAGGTAAGAACACATGTTTATGCCAGTGACATTGTGATAGCTTCTCAACATGTCCTCATAAGGAAAGCCAGGATTCAAGAAGATCCTCATCCTTGTCAACAGCAGCTGGGCTGCAGGCAGCTTGTTGTCCCAACTGAACACACTCAAGTCAGGAATGCCCAAAAATGCCTTGGAATTCTTCGGTAACCCCGGGTTCGTCGCCAGCGCCAGGTAGCTGGAATTGCCGGTGGCGTAGTACATCCATGCAGCACCCCACATGTATTCGTCGTAGTACCCCGTCGAATTGTAGAATGTCTCAATGTATGGGTTCCCCCGGCAGTACGGAGTCCGCTTGCCGGAGTCCCTGGCGAACTTGAACAGAGCAGTGGCCCCTTTGACGAGCTTCTGCGAGTAGGCCGGGTCGTCTCGGAAGACGATCGAGGCCGATGCTAGGGCTGCTGCCATCTCTCCGGCAAGGTCAGGCCCTGCAGTAGCTACTTGTGTTGGTCGGTCGTAGTCCATGTCTTCCGGTCTCTCCCAACAGTAATGGTCATCCGGTGTGGTTGAAACGTTCAGAGCCACACCAACCTGCCAACCCGGCCCAACAGATTAGGTTCGCTTTGTTTTGGTCACCCTTGGAGAGAAACCCCTAACAGATCCTAATTAATATTGAATCTTTATAGGCACACTTTGTTTGTACTTTGCACTGCAATTTAGTTTATTTGCATAATGGGAGAGCCCAAACTCTAGTTCACTTTTGTTCCGGAATTTATTTTGGGTTTTGTTTTCCTTCATCAACCTTACAAATAAAACAAAAGTAAACCAAAATTTGCACTTTCATTCATACATTTTCACCCGTTCAAATGAAATTAAACTGCAAACAAATAAGACCTTGCTTTTTCTTTGATTTACCTTAGAATCAAGGTTCAAAACTTATACAATACATTCCTCAAACCCCAAATAAGGGGTGTTTCAGATTTTGACCAGGTTGGGGGATTAGGCAGGCCTAAAACTGATCAGATATCTAAGAGAAAAAACTTGTAAAAAAATGAAAGTTAGATGTCAAAACACCCAATATGTTTGTATGTATGTACATATTGAAATTTTGAACCTTTTTGGAACACTTAGTTTGTTTGCAATGTAATTTCATTTGTATTGATGCATAAGCATGGAGATGTAAATGCAAATTTTTTTTATTTTTTTTTTAATTTAATTTTGTGTTGTTTACTTGCAATGAAAACAAAACTAATCAAAAGCACAATTGAAATTGAAATGATGCATATCTTACTTGGCTGTAGATTTTGTCGATGGTTGTGGCACTGGAATTGAAGGTCAAGAGCAGGTAATCAGTGCCCCATTTTATGACATCTCTTACGTGATTGTACTCTCCGATGGCCTTGTATTTGTGATTATATTCTATCACACTCCAGCTTAGCATGGTCATTGTGAAGGCCATCGGAAAGTGGAACTTGATATTGTCTCCGGCATCGTAATATCCTCCGACCAGGCCGCCCTTTATTTCCGGCATGTCTGAACCGTCTTTTAGGCCGGAATCTCCTCGCCATGACACCCCGTTGTTCTTCGGCAACTTCCCAGCTGCAAACCGCATTAATCAAAGTTATATGACAAGGATCCACAGAAAATTAAATATAACTTACTTTTAACAATAACACTGTTAAATGCTGCTGCTGATGATGATCCAATTTTGCTTGATTAATTGTATCTAAAATATTAAAATAAAAAAAAAAACTATAAAATATCTCTTTTTACATTTTAAAATTCATAGGCTTAGTTTTTTGGGTACAAATTTCATTTGCAATTGCACTGAGAGTGTATGGTTTACTTTTTTTTCAGATTTAACTCTGCCTTGTTTATTTATGAGAGAAAATTGGAAGAGCATGAAATTAAAAAAAAAAAGTAAATAAAACATTAAAAAATGGTTGATCCAGTTACAAGTTTGACTCAGGCAACAGTGTAGGCCCAATAAAATAAAATCAAATTTCATCCTTGCGTTGGAAAATGTGCAGCCCCTTAATGGGTGGATCTAAAAAGGCCTTAATATAATTTGATCCGAACCGTCTATCAATGTATCGGGGCCATCAGCCATCACCAATCCAAGAGAGGCCCCACCAATCTAAGGTCAGAAAACTAGACGAGTACCCTTCATACAAGGATCCCTCGATGAAAAGAAAAGGGCCGCTTGACAAAGTCATATTTTCATGCAAAACAAGTGAAAATCCGTCAACCGTCCATTGGAATCCACTTAGTAACCATATGAGACCGGCGTTAGGCAAACTTGAGCAACAAGTTTGGTTATAGACTTACATAGCTTATCATTTAACTTACCGAGTCAGTGCTCCGACTGTAAAAGGAATAATAGGACAAAAATACCCTCAAGAAAGGGAGCTTACATTTTTGCGCGTTGAAGAAGAGCAGGGCCTTGTGGAGGGCATTTGTGTAATTGTCGGGCGGTGGAGAACGGCTCTTGTGCTTGGGCAGAGTCTTGACAATAATGGTGGGAAGCGCAATCACCAGAAAAGCGATCAAAATGGACCAGAGGGTCCACTTGAAGGCCTTGCGGCTGCAAACGATGCAGCCCAAGTCCACGTACTTCTTCTTCTTCTTCTCTTTGGGCCCTAACAGCCAGCTCTGCTGCGTCTCGTCCAGGTTCTGAGACAGAGCCGCTCGGTCGTACTCCATGTTCCGGCTCCGCTCATCCTCCGTCGTGGAATCCGCATTGATCTCGAACGAACCTCCCCAGTGATTCGCCGAATGCATCCTTCTCTTTTGTAGTGGCACGGGATTTTCCTCAGAGTTCAGACGGAACCACCCATTTCCGTGGAAGCATCGTCTGATGCCCGTTCGACGGTTCGGGCACCGATTGAGTCTTCTAGCTCAGTTTCCTGGTTTTAGATTGAAATGGCGAAAGTTTGTTTAGTGATCAGTGCCATTTGGGTAATCTGCGGATGCTTTAAAGTTTTAAACTAGAGAGAAAGGTTGAAGCAGAGGTCAATTGAAAGTGTTTGATGGATGCCTCAACGAAAACTTTCTCTCCTTCCCGAGCGCTTCTATTGACCCGCGGGATATCAAAATTGTCTAATCTATCAAAGACGACCCAATTCAAATACCAAAAGACTTTATTTGGAAGACCCAGCTTGATGATCAGAAGAAAACCCACGTTCAAAAGCCAACCAATAGACCAAATTTTAAGGTAAAACTCAAAGTAATTCAAGAAAACTATACAAATTTGAGTGGTATTGATCAGAGGGTCTTCTTCGGTGCACCAATTGAAACAGTTGGGAAGCAAAAACAGAATCAAAGAAGAAAGATGGGAAAAGATGGCATTACCCACCGAAAAAAGAAAGAAAAAATTACCTTAATTTTGATGAAGATCCCAACTTGCACAAGCACAAATTCTTGTTTGGGATTCCCACTTCTGGTGGGGATTTAATCAACAAGAAAAAAGAACCACGTCAGAGCAACTGAAGAAGGCAAGTTGTTCTGTCTTCCTTTCACTTCCCAGAGAGAAGAGTTGACTTGAGAGAGGGTAAGATCGCTGTTGGGTTTTTAATAGTTGGAAAGAACTACTGAAAGTTGTATAAATGGAGAAACGAGCTTCTCGGGAACGCCGGTGGATTTTGCACAAATATTTAAAAGACAAAGTTTCATTAAATCATTAAATGTTTGCAAAGTGAATAGTTGGTCCCCGCTTGGCCCTTTCACTAGTTGATGCTAACATACGCCACTAGTATGTATTTTTCTAACTTGTGTAACACACTCACAGACACACAGTTTGCCAACTGTATATTTGGGCCCACTTTGAAGGGTCAATGTAAGAGATTGGTTGTTCTTCATGAATCTAGTGGGAGCCAATTTGATGTCCCTGGTTGAATCGGTGCACGTTAGCATACTTTCTTCTTTATTTTTTTTTAGAAAGAAAAAAATGGATATATATATATATATATATATATATATATATGAATAAATGATCCTACGTTTCTCCAGAACCATATTAGACTAGTATGAGCCAGAGGGTTCTTGGTTAGGGCTAGAGTACCTGACCTGATTGATAAATAGGTACAAATGGTTCATTTTGAAATTCCAAACCGTTTTTTCTGGTAAGGTTATTGTTTTAGTTAAGAACCCAAAATAGTTATAGGTAACCATTTTCCACCTTGATCAGAACTTTATTTCAATGTTTTGTGACTATAGACCAGACCGGATGATCGAACAGTAGACAAAAAATGGTCTTT